AATAGGGTGATTCTCCCATCACCCTATTTGGGTTTCTAATCGACCCACCCCAAATCGATTAGCGGCGACTCCTTGATATAAACCACTTGCATGTTAAACACTTAAACCCTAAGTCGCGATATGGTATGGGCTTGGGAGAGCCCGAGTTAAGTCCCGAACCTAGACTTAGCACGTACCAGGCGAGCCCCCCTTTTTTGCATGTCGTTTAAAAAAGGGCTCGGGAGTTCGGTCGCGACAACCCGTTTCAGCTGTTTATACTTTTGAGTTTCAATAACCTCCATAATTGTGATAGAACTTCATAAGAACTTTCAATTTTCAAACTTTTTCCACTTTTCAGCCAAAAAAAAAATGTTGAGTTTATGCTGTCATCAATTTGGTTGGCACATAAACATAGGCTATTTTAGATTTTGATACTTTCTTTTTTCAGGTCAAATTTTGATACTTGAATAAGCTTGTGTTGATTTGTAGTGTACTAGGACTAAATCTGCCACTTCCTTCTGCATCTTAAACATGACTTGGTGGACACCGATATGTTCTCTAGCTTCTTAATATGTTCATGAGTTTTTAACTTGTTGAAATAATGAATTGTATGCATGAATCCTGCAGGAGTGGGAGGGAAGGGTGAATGTTCCATGTCTAGCGCAGATGCTTATATGTGCAGGTCATTGATCAGAGGACTCGGATGGTTCTCTTCAAGATGCTCAACCATCAAGTATGAATGTTTGCATTTCCACTGGCAAAGATGTATATTATTATCTAAAGTCAGCAGTACTTGCTACTTTTTCTTTTTTACCAATTGATTGTAGGTGAAACTTCTCCACGTCATTGTTATAATTTCACGATTTCACTTGTGATGTATACTTTTGCTACTGCTGCATAGTCTCTGGACTTTTTTGTCACTCTGACTTTTGTTAAGCAAATATCTATCATGCAACATAATCTGATGGGCAAGAATTGGCTATCAAAGTCTAGAAGACTTCGGTGTTGGTGTTCAAGTAAGTGCAAGTCGCGTATTGTATAAGTGTAATTTACCGGATGTGGAGATGACTTTGCACTTTCTAGCAGTAGCCCAGTTTTAACTGAGAGTAAAGCGAGAGGGAAATGTTTATGTTCGTCTTGTATTCTGTCAGGGCATCGTTATTAGATAATGTTGGTATGTTGTTCCAAGGTAAATTGTATAGGAGCTTCTTCTTTTCAATCTTTTTTTGCCTTCTTTTTTTGCTAGTTATCATACGGAAGGAGGCCTCGGTAGGAGTTGGCTATGACCTAATCGCATCCCGGTTCCAATCCACTATCGATAGTTAGATACCTTCTGCGTTTTTAATTTGATTTTTTCACATACTTTCGGAGGTGAGAAAATGAGTAGTTTTGATCTGTTGGATTGAGAATGCTTGGCTGGCTTGGTTTGGACTTGCTATCATGAGATTAAAGGTCTATTGGTTTACTGAGGTGGGGGTTGTTAAAGACTCGCTATGCAATTACTAGGCAGATGTGAAATTTGCCAAAGCAAGAGTTTGTGAAGCATCATTTTGAGTCTCCGATATCATTACCGTTTGTTTGAGAGGGAAAAGATGTCTCGAATTGAAGGCCGCACCCCCAAGAGATAAATGAAAAAGTCAAGAAATGCTTTCAAAAGATATACACCATACCTAAATCAGTATTAACAATGCACCGAAAAATATCACACTTGAATTGTTGAACTCAGAAGATATACACCGCAATTAGATTTGAGTTTCATCCCTTCGTCATAAATTGTCTACGGACTCTGTGACGATTGACCAAAAAATAATCACGGATCTACAAAAATAAGTTATTAAAATCCAAAGATTTATAAGAAACAACATGCAACATGATACCCAAATACAGTATACCGCCGGAGTTTAAAAAATCAATTGGCACATCTTCGAATAGCTAAACAATCTCTTGAAAACAGTCAGAATCTTGCGTGAGCAGACATGCCAAAGCAAGCATCAGCAAGTACATATTGATGATTAGCCACATGGCCAAAGACAAGCTCATCCAGAGAAACAATTTGGAATCAATTGTCCCGAGAATGATGTATAAGTATCGGTATATCACGTTCCAGCTCGTGGGTCCAATCACTTCAATCAGTACTACGCGATAGATGACTCACAAATGATGTGAAAGTGTAGAACCGCAGGGCTTAGCATCTCGGTATGTTGCGAATTGAAACGCGTGATGACAAGTAGCTTGAACGAGGTGAATATATATTGAATCTCTTGCTTAAGTCAAAACTTTCATGTTGTTACTATGGTTGCTCGTCGACCCTGATTGTAATACACATTCATGGCCACCATTAGATTAAATTTGATCCGAAGACAAGTAATGGTGGATTAAATTAATGGATAAAAGTCTTAGGGTATCTTTGCGACACCATAAAAGGTTAGACAACCTTCGTCAATTGATTTTTTTCCATCAAACACTTGTTGCACATCAGTTGCATAACAAAAAATAAAAATCGGCTTTGATTAAGGAAAGAAATTAAAATTTCGTTAGAACTCCTTTAACATATATATTCTTTAAACACTAGAAAATTGTACCGTTTACTTTGTCGTTAAATCATGTTTGTGCATACCTAAATTTATAGATAAATTGATAATTTAAAAAAATATGTGACCCTATATGACTCTTGCTTATTAATTGGTGATTTAGATATATGACCGTATATCAAGGTACATTTAATTAGTGAAGCTATGCAAATTGATGTTTGGATATTGTTCTAGCAATATTAGTGTTGATTAAGTTGGATAGTTAACCTTTTTACTTCTTATTCCAAATAATGAAAATGTTACGGTGCGAATTAATGCAAAGGGTAGTGAGAGAGATGAGAGATTAGAAAATAGGGGTTTTTTTTATGATATGACTCTATCCGAAAACAATAATGTACTTGCTTTTCTAAAAAACGGACGTCACCAACAAATGTAAATAAATAATAAAAAAAGGGAATTGCCACCAATCTTTTATCTGGTATGATTGGCCACCAAAACTTTTTTTAGAGTGCACGGGTTCGGGAGTCGATCTCGCTAAGGGAAGGTGTTAGCATCCCTATTGCACTTGTTCTGAGAATGGTACCTTAATTGTTTTTTTTAAAGGATATTACTATTTGTGCATAAAATAAATGTATATATATAATAGAAAAGCTATTAGACCAAAAAGTCACAAAATTTGAGCACAAGACACCAATGAAACTATAATAGAAGGAAAAAGAAAGGATCAAAAGCCAAAAAAACAAGTCCACGCAACATGACAAACTGAGCTTCAAAAAACGTAAAATCTACAAACAGTGTACTATGTTCAGTAAAGAACATGTATATGGTAACATTCTCTCTTCCCTCAATTAGAAGAATTTATTTCAAATGACATGCAACACAATTGATACACAAACACTGTATGATTGCAAGAGCTTCAAAAATCCAACTAAACTTCGGAAATCAGCACATCGTCAAACGGTTGAACAATCTCTTGAAGCCTGTTGAAAACTCGCGTGAGTAGACCGGATGATGCCAAAACAAATATTAGCAAGCATGTATTGAGGATCAGCCACATGGCTAGAGACAGGCTTGTCCAGAGAAGAAACTCGGCACCGAGAGTCCCGAAAACGATGTACAAGTATTGGTATATCAGGTTCGGGCTCGCGGGTCCAGTCACTTGGATCAATGCTAGGAAATAGATGACTTCGCAGATGATGTACAACTGCAGAACCGTGTGACCCAGCGCCTCGATAGGCTGCGAATTGAAATGCGCAATGGCGAATAGCTTGAACGAGGTATATGCAATATGAAACCTTTTGGTTGAGCCAAAACTTTCTTGATATTGCTGACGTGCTGGTTGCTCGTCGTCCCCGTAGCAAATCAGGAAAGAAAATGATGGAAAGGAAAATGGATTACAAAGAAGGAAGAAAGAAAAACTGGCTACTCAATCAGAGCTATGAGCAAAGTTTTTAAGAGCATATTTATACAAATAAATCACGTACTTTTCGATTGTCGCTGTTTGATCAGCCATTTTTTGGAGAAGGGGAGCACGTGCAGAGACCGAGGATTCAAAAACTGCTTCTCCGGCAGGAGCTCCTCCACCTCGCTTGAACGTATCCCGATATGGAGCTTTTTGTTTTGTGTATGGGTTATGAAAGGTGAAGTAAAAGAGATTTGCTTCATGCATTTTATAGAAAGAGGGGTGGCCCTATTGTTCCCGACTTGACTTTTGCACAGGGAATGCAAAAAATCGATCCCCACACGCGGAGACTTGACTTTTGAGTTTCACCATCCTCCATAATTGTGATGGAACTTCATAAGAACTTTCAATTTTCCAAATTTCTACACTTTTCACTGGAAAAGAAATGTTGAGTTCATGCTGTTGTCAATTTGGTTGGCACATTACAAGTTATTTTAGATCTTGATACTTTTTTTTTTGGGTATGGAACTTTTGATACTTGAATAAGCATGTGTTGATATATAACGTACTAGTACTATATCTACCACTTCCTTCTGCACCTAACTTGTTAAAAGAATGAACTGTATGATGAATACTGCAGGAGTGGGAGGGAAGGGTGAATCATGAATGTTGGCATGTCCAGCACTGTGACAGCTTCAATTCGAGAAAGTGTACGGGATATGGCTATTGGCAAAATTAAAAGTAATGAGAAGGCTGACCGTGCAACTGTCGAGCAGGTAAAGTACATTTTCGGCAAAAGATTGAAAGTTGCATGCTAAATGTCTGAGATCATGGGATGAGGCCATGGACACGGCCTCATCATTGTAAAAGAGTTACAAATCTGAGATCTCGAGCCTGCTCTGTGCCAAGAAAAAAATTCTCAACAATATCTTTCCCTCCAATATCTGTTCTTTCCTACATCTCTCTCTCCTCCAATGTAATGGACTCTCTTGATGCTTTTTACCTCAGCAGTGAGAACCTTTAATTCTGGAGAAAAGCCTAAGTGATCGAGTTATTGAAGTTGAGATGTTCTATGCTTTCACTTTCAGTCATATATACCGAAGACACTAGATTCGGTGAAAAATGTGGAAGAGGACGTGATTTGGATAACAAGTGGGAAGGACACTGGAGAGATCTATTACAAGAATATTCCCCGGTTACATAAGGCTCTCACGAAGGAGGGCGCTAATGCTATAGAAAAGCCGACCGATCCTGGCAACAATACTAAAGCTGGCGGTAGCAAGTCCAAGTCTGATACAGATGTAGATGAAGATTCAGAAGGAAATGAGTCGGCTTCCGAAACTGAGGTGCAGGCTCCTGTTGACAAGAAGGCTGCTAGGAAGGACAAGCAAAAGAAGGTCAAAGAGGAAAAAAGGGAGGCGAGGAAAAACAAAGTCCCCAAGGCTGTGAAGAAAAGAAGGGAGAAGTTGGCCAAAGCCCAAGAGACTAGGTAGTCCTGGGTAGCTGTGGTATTAATATACGTGTGTTTTGGCATTTGCCAATAGAGAGAGTGAGTCACCTGTTGGATAAGTTAATTTACCAGATGCGGAGATGGCTTTGCACTTTTCTGCAGTAGCCCAGTTTTAGCTGAGAGTAAAGCGAGAGGGATGAGTTTATGTTGTCTTGTATTGTGTCTGGGTATCATTATAAGATGATGTCGGTATATGCTTCCAAGGCAAATTGTATAGCAGCTTCTGTTTTTTGTTTTTTTTGTTTTTCCGCTAGTTATTATAAAGAAGGAGGTCTTGGTAGGAGCTGTCTATGAGAGCCTATGACCTAATCGAGTCCCGGTTCCGGTCCTCTATGGACAGTTAGATACCTTCTGTGATTTTATTATATATTTTTCACATACTTTCGGGGGTGAGAAAATGAGTAGATTTTATCTGTTTGATTGAGAATGCTTGGCTGGCTTGGTTTGGCATTGCTATCATGAGACTAATGCCCTATTGCTTTACTGAGGTGAGGGTCAAAGATTGGCTATGCAATCACCAGGCAGATGTGAAATTTGCCGGACCAGGAGTTGATGAAGCATTGTTTTGGGACTCCGATATCTATCCGACGACTGTTTAGGCAGGGTCAAAGACTGGCTATGCTATCAAAAGGCGGAACACCATGCCTAAATCTGTATTAACAACGCACCCAAGCATCTAATCTCTTGTTTTTGGCGATTAGGCATCATGCGATGGCTACTGGAGAAAGTTCATCGTCCTTGCGGAACAAATCTCACAGGTATATATGTATAACTATTAGGAATTTGGTTGTTGTTGCAATTGTAGTCATAATTGCCGTAAATCCATGCAATGCAGTACAAGAGGATAACCAATATACTGGATATTTGCTAGATCTATCAAAAGCGTGGCTTGGGTCGAAAATGGATCCGACCCAAGTTGACCCATGTTTCTATGTTATACAATTTGATCGACCCATATACCCGATTCGACCCGAACCAAACTCATATCCAAACTAACTTGGGCTCCAATTCTTAGCAATTTCCCCCCTTAGATATAGAAAATAGCACTTAAAAAAACAAACCAATTAAAAACAAATAAAAAATGAAAAAAATGCAAATAATAAATTACTAAAACAATATCTGAAAATACTTAAAAATTTAAAAATATTCAGATCCATCAAGATTTGAAGTGGCCCATGAATTCTTTCCAATTTTCTGTTTTGCTTTTTTAAATCTTAGTAGTTATTTACTAAAAACTGGTTTGGGGATGATTTAAGCTATAGTCAATCTTTCGAGGTGTCCATTCATGCTAGATGACCTCGTGTTGCCAGAAATTTTTTGTGTGATATTTTTTCCACGATTTTCTTAAATTGAGTTTTATTCTATCTTTATTCATGGAAATATCAAAGCTTCATAATTATCTATATAACCTGTGAAGATTGACCCAAATATATTCATGCGTCTAAAAAAGTAAATTCTTAATATCAGAATTATCTATTATAAATGACAAGCAACAAGATTGACACCCACATACGGTATGATTGCAAGAGCTCTAAGAATCCAATTGAACTTAAGAAAACGACATATTGTCAAACAACTGAACAATCTCTCGAAAACGGTCGCAATCTCATGCGAGCAAACATGCTAAAGTAAACACTAGCATGCACATATTGACGACTGGCCACATCGACAGAGATAGGCTTGTCCACAAAAGCAACTTGGAATCAAAAGTTCCGAAAATGATGTACAAGTACTAGTATATTGGGTTCCGACTCACCGGTCTAATCAGTTTAATCAGTGCTACGAGATAGATGACTTCATAAATATTGTAAAAGCGCAGGATCGCATGGCTCAGCACTCCAGTATGATGTCAATTTAAATGTGCGATGACAAGGAGCTTGAACGAAGTGAATACAATATGAAATCTCTTGGTTAAGTCAAAATTTTTCTGCTGCTACTATTGTGGTTGCTCGTCGTCCCGGTACCGAATCAAGAATAAATTAATAGTAAAAAAAACAAATCCAAAAGAAAAAAAAAAGGACAATTGCTACTTAATCCGTGCTCTAAGCAGAGTTCTAAGAACACGTTCACAGGAATGAATTACGTACCTTTCGAGTGTCGCTGCATGATCATCCATGTTCGGGAGAAGTCCAAGCTCTGTGAACTCTGGGATTGTTTTTTAGTTATGTGAGTAAACGGAACGAGCTCTTCATCGCAGTATATTTAGGCCATCTGTTCTGCCATTTATTCGTTCGTTTATTTTGTTTGGGAGGGTACCCATATCTTCGATAAGGATTTGGGGAATCCCACGATGGCCCAAATTTGTCGTGACGTATCCATAATAATGAAGAATAGGGGAGTTACTTTGTTCAAATGAACTTTCTAAGACACTTCGGCCGTGTCTTCGTCAACCGTCAAATTTCAGTACGGAGCGCCTACTTCCATTCCCGTCGCGTGTGTGCACAGGTAACGCTGGAAAGCGCGTACAAGAACTATTGCAAATTCAGGATTAAGGAACAACATCATCGATCCTAGCAGTTTTGACACTACGCTTGCAAGTGCCTTTTTTTTTCTTTCTTTTGTTAATTAGCGTGGAATTTTGTAGGATCATTGCCGACTATTCAAAAAACTTAAACTGTTGGATAAATGCGTGATTTAATATTTAAATATCCTATCAGTGAGGAAGGGCCGAAGGCAGGATTACTATGCTTGTAGGCATTTTGAGAGAGGCAATAGGCAATTATTCTTTTCGATTTAATGCGCATATAAACAGTAATCAAAGTGCGACTATTCGTAAACCTAGGGAGCATACGGAAGTTCAGCCTACATGTTAAAGCAATGCACATGTTCTTCAACAAATGCAAGTACCGTTACTCGGAGCATCCCATGACTTATACTTGGAAGGGATTAAATTGGGACCATGGAGTAGGAAAATGCAGTCGTGTGGCGTGCTTGTGGTGATGATGTCACGTGGCGTGCTTGTGGTTACGATGGCTACATATTGACTTTTTCTTACCCCGTAAAACCCGAAACTTTCACAATATACAAATTTTGACATGTAAATCCTTAAATAATTTTTCCATAATTTTTTGAAACTTGTATAATGTTTTATATTCGGGCGGGAAAGTGAATAAAAATTTTTGCTTTCGTTGAAGATACACTAACGTGCCATTAATCCAAGATAGAGGATAGCTTCGTTATACTTGTCCTTTCCTTGAGAAATGGTTGTCATCCCACTGTGAAGATTTCGAATTTTGCTGTTGTAATGTTGGATTCGATCGGTAAGCTATGCGACAAAGTTGTTTCAAGATCTGGAATGATATTGGTACTGTCGTCCATGGTAACTGCGAGGCTTGCTCGTGCAGAACAAAGCTAAATGATCAGCACGATGTTGTTTTGATGGCAGACGAAATAATCAAATTAGTTGTTCGTGGCCATAAGTTCAAATGATCAAGATCTAGCTTTGAGTTCTATCAGAGTTTCAGTAAGTTTCATCTTTCTCTTTGGTGTAGAATGTGATGTTTCATATTCTCGTTTGAACTATTAGTCTTAGATCTTTCTTCTTTATGCTTTTCGATTTTGGACTTAGACCAACTCAGTGTGTGTCCATGACAAGAACATCGATCGTATAAAAATTGGAACTCAGCAGAGCAAAGCACATGGAATAACCTGGATTACTTGTACCTTAACCATGCAATTTATGTTTGGGGAGAGAGAGAGAGAGAGGATCCTCGGAAACAAAGCTATGAGTATGGAGTTAACAAATATCTTTTGAAACTTGTCAATTGTATGAATAGAATAGATCGTGAGATGATCTTGTTAAAAATAACGGTTGAGGGGAGACATGTGAGAAAAGGGAAATGCCTCAATGGCATTGAAGCAATAAATGATTATGTCAGTACTATTTTGTGATTATTTACATTATTTTGATAATTCGCCATGGCAATATCTTTATTATGTACTATGCAAAGATGGGTGTGTTGTACGGATTTAAAATTTTGGCTTGTTTTACTTTTATGTCTGATGATATTATATGGTCATGCAACGCAATACCTTTAGAAGTGACATGTAACACTTATACGAAGACTACGCTTTTATTGATCCGTATTACACTCGATCCGGACCCCATCCATACCTAACCCAAGCTCCAATAGCTATCTTTCCCCTGATATATGGAAAATAGCATAGCCAATTAAAAATGAAAAAAATTAACAAAAATGAAATTGCTAAAAAATTTAACGAATCAAGCTAGTAAAACACATCTCCTATTATTTCTCCCGATGCTATAAGTTTGATCTAATTGAGTAGAAGAGTCCATGCCTAGGAAGATACATATATGATGTAAATTTTTTTTTTTTTTGGTAACCCGGGAACCTCCCCGCACGGCCGACAGCCAAAGTCGGGGGAGGTAAACCCAGAGTGACGCTAGCTAGAGGACCCACCACCACGACGTCACGCTTAAGAATCTTTAACGCCGGCCGCGGGATTCGAACTCCTACCCTTCGTGGGGGAGGAGAGAGCCCGAAGCCCCGCAACCGCTGCCGAGGGCGGTGGTTATATGTGTAAATTTCTACTCTTGTAAATACTAAAAAATCTGATAATACTCAAAGATTTGAAATCTTTCAAATCCATCGAGAGTTGGAACGTTAAGATGGTGTTCAACACCATACACTTCGATAAATGAAGTAACTTGAATGGATTTTGGGTTTAAAGGAGGTTATTGAATTCTGTTCGTACGCAAATTTTAAGTTTCATAGGTCTATAATCCAAAGGCCTTTACCTTTTTCTTTCTTGTTTAGGTCCAACTTGGACTGTCCAAGTCCAACTTCCAGATATGCCCCCCAATGTACAGCAACCAAAGAAATGACGTGGCCCGTGAATTCTTTCTTTCTTTCTTTCTTTCTTCTTTTTTTTTTAAAGTTTAATAGCTATTTATTAAAAACTGGTTTAGGGATGAATTAAGCTGCAATTAATATTTCAAGATGGTCATGACCATGTGTTGCCAGAAATCTTTTGTGCGATATTTTTTCACAATTTTATTAAATTTGAGTTTTATTCCATCTTTACACAACCGAAATATCAAAGTTTCATTATCGTCCATGTGATTTGTGACGAGTGACCCAAAGAAAAAAATCATGGGTCTACCAAAATAAATCATTGAAATCACTCTCTATCTTAGATGTTCCTCGGAAGGAGAGAAATGAAGAAAAGAAAAGTGTGACAAGTAAAATAGTAACATATCTAAACCTTAACTTAAATATAATCTGAGTCGAATCCATTTAGATCAAGTTTTAGTTAGCCTTTGTTTCTTACAACTCATTTTAATCAATTCATAAAAAAAGTGATTAATTTTAAAAGTCAACCCAACTAAAATGAACGGAAAATTGGGTTAGTGGACCCATTTTAACCCATTTTGTTACCTCCAGAAAAAATCAATCAGGCCAAGAAAAAGGATCAAATGATATTAGAATGAT